CTATATTAGTGTGGGCCAGAGTGAGGAAACAAATGTTGAAATATTTTCAAAGGTATAATTATTAGTTTATATTGCAAGAGAGACAAAGATAATAAATGTTGACTTTACAGTTGACACAATGTATATAAATATATTTTTTATAGTACAATAATATAAAAATTTGTTTGAATAACCATACAGTAGAACCTCGATTAACCATCAGTCATGGAACTAGAGCTAAGCTGCTAGTCTGCTAAGGTTCATTGACTAAAGACCTTTTAATGGTGTCATAAACTCATGTGTGCAATATAGACATAACATTATACTTATATACTCAAAAAAAGTGATGAGTTACATAATTGAAAATWAGTATCAAGATACAAGTTGTGGATACATCTACCTAGCACTCCAAAAGTACAGATGACCGAAGCGCCCCGAGAGAACACAACAAGTTTCTGACGAAAACTGGTCGCTGACGTGTAACGATCTCATTATGAATAGACTATAGATGTCAAATTACATCATTCACCAATTACAGATACAATCAAAATTGTTGAAAAGATACTAAATACTTTGTTTTTTACCTTTAAATAGATGATACCATATTTAAGTTATATTTTCTAGTAATTAAAACTATTGTAAGCTACAATTATTTATAGCTTATTAATTTATTATTTCTCTATATTATTATTTGTTAACTTAGTTTAGTTTTTAGTTATATACTTATACATTAATATTCAAAATATATTAATTTATTTATAATATCTGCGTTGTAGAGATGAGTGACAATAAAATACTGTAGTTAAAAATTAAAATTCCAGATTACGTAAACAACTATCTATATATAAACACAAATTATACACCAGGCATGTTGAATATGCGGCCCTCGACTCATTATTCATAGACCGTGGTGAGCAATGTTAATGAATAATTTGAAAAAAAAATTATAGGTACAATTTCCTTTTCATATTAAAAATATTTTAATGAAAAGTATAAAAGTATACTTAATGTTACGTTTCTGTCTTATCTTCTGATTAACTGTAATTGAATAAGTGTTTACAATATTGTAAGTAATGAATAAAATTAAAAATTTGTTAAAAAATGTCTATTTGATTMATTTTTTTGTGCGACAACATGGTAAATTATTCAATATATTTGGCGTAGTTAACACTGAGTTTGATACAGTGGCGCTTATGTACTGGTGGGGCGATTACCTATGAAAGTGGGTGGGTGGGT